CCAAGGTGTAAGGAAACTACTCGCCAGTATGTTGGGACCCTAAAAACCACAGAAGATACATTCGAGTCAGCAACAACCTACAGCAGAAAGATATGAAGAGTTACCAAAAATATCCAGGGGAAGAGAATTGCTTCTAAATGGTATTTCCAACGATCACCTAAAATCTGCAAGGCTTGCGCTATGGTAACACACCTTGTCATTCCTTGCAAGCCTTGGGACCACATTGTGACAGCAGCTAAGTTTTTGACCCTTTGGAGAAGCCGCAGGCCCTGGGGAGGAGGTCCAGCAGCAGACGGCCAGGTTTGCTGGACTCGCTTTAGCTCCCTGCATCGCCAGCCCGGCTGCACCTCCGTAGGAACAGCAGGTCCCCAGGCAGCGCTGGAGGAGGTCAGGTGGGTGCAGAGAGGTTTACAAGCTTGGACTCTCTGCTCTGAGACATCACAGTGGTGTGGGAACAGCCACACAAGGGGAACCTGCCAGCATGCTGAACAGACCAACAATCTCTCGTCTGAAGCCCACAGCGGTGGGTATTTTCCTGAAGTTTTATACCATTTCTATGCGAAAGATGCAGGCCAGGAAAAGACAAGACATTATTTTAAAAAAAAATCTCAGTATGAAAAAAAAATAAATAAAATCTGTGTCCCTCAGCATGTAAGCCAGTCACTTCAGGGGGGCAGAGACACTCTTTAGGAGTGCTGCCCAAGTTCCTGCCTCCCCCACGGCACGGCCCAGCAGTGGGTTGGAGTTGGGACCAGACTGCCAGTGTGACCCGCCACAGCCCTGCCTGCTCAGGCCAAAGGTCTGCTGTTGGCCACAGCACTTGGGCCTGCTGCCAGCGCCCACAGCGACCCACACAGGGACAGTTATCTCCTTTTGGGGGGCGGGGAGTGAATTGAAGCCAACCCCCATGCGAGCACGTTGCCCTGACAAGCAATGACTTTGCAGTATGCAGCAAGACCAAGTGGATCAGCCAAGGAAATATTCTCATCGGCACAGGCTATTTACTCTCAGCTTTTCCCTCGGCTCACGTTGTTTAGCACAGCTCTTTTCAGCGTTCCAGCCGTCCCTACAAGGACAGAAGGATTACATCCTTATGGAAACTGCCACAAGCATCCAGCCGCTCAGCCCAGGTGCCAAGGCACCTTTTTCCACAACAGCAAAAAAGCAAATACATTTTCTCATCACTAGAAAAATCACTACTCGTCCCAGCTGCTGGATCAAACACAATCTGCCATCTGCTTTACAGTATTGCTTCCTTTAGCTCCAGCCACGCAGGGAACACCGTAGCAGACGGGTAAGTCCCATCTGCCACTAAGAACAACCGCAGAGGTTGCTCCCTCTCAACTTGACTGGCAAAGCAGCACATCCAGGGATGTATTTACCCCTGTCCCACTCCATGTAACGGATAAAAAGCATTGCTACAAGAGACACGCATACATAAATCGTAGCAATGCAAGGTGCTCCCCTGTGTATAGGAACCGTGCAGACACCTGGCAGGGGGAGGGAAAGGAAAAGCAACAGGCTGGGAGAGGAACATCTGAAATACAACTGCAAACAAGGCAAACGGGCAGTATCAAGAGGCAAGTTCTACCTGCAAGCGTTGCAGCCATCTCACAGAAATGACAGCACCTCTCCCACTGTCTTCTAAGGCTGCAGGCTCCTATGGCCACTTGTTTTCCTTGTTGCCAGGTCAGCAAGATGCAAAGCATTCAATGCAGGACCCCACGCTACCTCGGATGCAGAGCAGCAACTCCTCTCCCTTGATTTTTCAAATAAATCTGTCACCTTGCAGAATAGTAAGGCCGGTTGTCACACTGTTTTGTGACCATAGAAATGTCTCAGCCTATGTACTGGTCCTATATTTGAAAGCTCATTAAATGCCATGAAACCCAGTTTAAATTGTCATCCTAATCTTGCACCAAATCAGCTCAAACTGCTCACACAATCCCAGACCTCAGCTGCGCGGTAAAGGCAGACTCTCCTCCAGCAGAGCAACGAGCTCTCACACAGCCTTCCCTAAATCTGGAAAAATTAGACCAGGAGCACTCCCAGCCGCTTACAGAGTGGTTATCAACCCCGAACAGCTACATCCACCAAGAGCTAGCGCAAAATTGTTATGTTCAACACAGCCCAGGCCAGTAACGGGCCTGCTTCGCACGAGCAGGTACCTGATGTTCTCTCAGAGACTCGAGAGTCTCCTCAAGCCAGCTCTAGTGCCTCTGCCAGCGGGCAAGGACTCACCTCGGTCACATTCTCGCCCTTTCTGATTCCAAAACTACCTCAGATCCAGTGGAGGAAAGAGACACAGAGCCACTCATCGACTGCCTTGTTACTTGAGATGAACTTGCCCAGCTGGAAGCAGGCAGCGGCAGAGCCGAGTCCCAGGACGGGCAGGCTGCCTGCCCTCCATTTGTGAGCTTGGTCCCCGAGCCCTCCAACCCCAACTGGAGCCTGCCGACCCCCAAGCACCTCACCTGCTTTTGACCACAACCCAAGAGGTAAACCCAGCATTTTCTCATCAGGCTGGCTACCAGGTGCTCCTGCACACAAATAGGTTGAATTCCTGATCACCGAGAGGCAGGCGGTAAAGTGATCAAAGCAAAATAATTCCTTCAGTGTTTGATCATGTCCGCTCTTTTCTTTTACCCCATCTAATGTAGTTTTCTCCATAAAGAGCCTTCTAGACAAACAGTGCTGGCACAGACTAAAAAGACCACACCAGCAGTAAGCACTCAGTGAATTCAAGTGAATAAGCAAAGAGAAACTTGTGTCTTTAGTCAAGGCTGACAGTAAGCAGCCTCACTGCTCCTCAACAGCCTCATTATTTTCCTCCGAAGCTTTGCTAATCTTTGCGTCCTTGGCACAGCTCTGCAATAACCACACAAGTTCTAGAATTGCTCCTGTCTCACAGGTACGTTTCTGAACGAAAAGCTAAATTGGAACTAGCAAAAATAGCCATCCTCCTGCTCACATGAAATCACACTACCTGTAACCCGGTTTGCAAGCAGCACTGATGTATGGAGATGAAACTCTGCCCGATCCTCTCTCGCCTGTATCTGGCAGCAGAGGGAGAAAATGTAGTGTAGAAAAGAATAGTCGAAAAGATTAGTCTTAAAATCCCATTAACTTGCACCTTTCTTCCTTGTGAGTGTTGAAGGGCATGAGAAAAACTCAATCCTTTTTGTTGCAGGTGCCTAACGCCCTTTTTGAAGCACAGAGAAGGTTCATCAGGGTACCCCATCCCTCTCGAGTAACGCACACAAGTACTGCCTTCACCCTCACAGATGGGCAAATTAGTTACACAGGAACAGCTCTATCGGCCTCCAACTGCAACACAAAAATAAAAGCAGCCTTTCCTCAGCATGCTGCAGACGTGCTGTACTGATGCACCACATCCACAGTGGAAGGAGCAGACGCTTAAAGAACCAAACCAAGAGGTGCTGAAATTAAACTAGGGATCAGGTTCAAAGCAAAGAACCGGTCCCTCTTGCAGGTGGTAGCTCAGGCTGGAGCATGAGGAGCTCCTTGGCTGAGTGCTGTAGACACTAAAAGTTCACACAGGGCCAAGGGAAAAACAGAGAAGTTCCTGGAAGAGAAAACCACCAACGGTTTTATACCTGTTCCCATGGTTAGGGAAAGGAGACCAAGCAATGGGCATCTTTGACCAGACCACAGATATCTTGGCTTATGTAGCACGAGGCTGTAAGCACCAGCCATTTCACTCCCTTACAAGAACTGCCTGTTTCTAGCAACAGTTAAAGCTGTTTGATCCAATACAAATTGTGCCTTATTGCAGTATTTGATCCTCTAAATTGATTCTCATTGTCTATTTTACATATAATTCTGCATTTTTGATAGCTTGTGCTTGAACCAACTCAATTTGGAAAAAACAGTTTTATTTTTCATTATTTTATGTACTAGATTTTTTCCATTCACACACTTTTCCAGACACAGCTACTGAATACATGCATCAACTGTGCTGTTTGTAAATGCAAGCCTATTTTTGTCTTTATCAGTAGAATGCATTCTAATTTAAAGACCAAAAAGTTGTCATGCAGAACCCAAACCTCTCAAACAAGCCTTTATTTTCTTCTGTTGAGAAGTGTATCTAGTATGCCCAAGTTTAACTACAAATGTTATCCCACAGCAAGTTGAACAATGCACCTCTTTTATGACTATTGTTGGAACGTTTAAATGCAGACCCCTACAACACATTAATCCCTGATGCAGAGCTGCAGCACAGCTTTAACAGCAGCACTGCTGTCCTCAGCACACACCCACCCATGCAATCTCGGAACACAGCAAGAGTTTGCATCGCATCTTCAGCATGATTCCATTCCTATAATCTCATGTGATAAACATCTTTTCCCATTAATCTTCCAACACTGACAGTTTTAAATATAGGTAAAGTGTTCTTAAACTACAATTGAAAATGCTAAATGTCAAGGAGAATATAAACTTGTATCTACATGCTTCCAAACTGTCTCAGTGCGAGAAGTACATTAGATAAAAATCAATGCGTTCTTTCTTTGTAGGCAGACCTCACAAATCATGACCAACTCCAAAGTTCCAGTTAAACTGTAACTTCACCCCAGCCTCTGCTTACATTACAATACCACCAAAATATGCAGGAGTTATCACCACTCAGGCATGAAGAGCAGGCTCGTAGCATATTTGACTCAAGCATTACCATCCGCACAGCAAACAGAAAAAAAAAATCCTGCCCACCTCCCACAGGTACACATGCAAAAAATTGACAATAAATCACTTAGATCAGATGCTTCTTTCTAATGAAGTGCTAATATAGCATTACTAAAACTTCACTGAATTAATGTAATTGCATCATACAAAAAAAAAGAATCACTGTATAGGACAGATTTTGTGCATGCACTGTTGCTTTTCAAGGCTGTGGTAGTTGTATGCCATCTCAATTGTTATACTTTCTAGCACACTTTTCTGGTAAAATATTACGCATTTTGTTTGTATAGTCAATAACTCTCTCAATACTGAAAAAGCATTTTATTGAAAAGTTCTAAAAGGACACAATGATCACAACTAAAGCAGGAATCTGGCACAGAACGTGCTCAGAATTTTTTACAAAATAATTACAATCCAAGAAAAAAAATGCCTACATAAATCAGTACAAGTATCATGAACTATAAAAGCTACGAGACAAAATAATGATAGTTCTTCCATGTAAAACATGCTTCAAGAACTGTATCCTGTTCTCACACTTTTCATGATGCAACTTTTGTTCGGGAAATGATTTCATTCACAAAACTGTTGTTCTTTGCCAACACATCATTTCTCAGCTGTTTCAGCTTGATTTTGATGTCGTCTTCTGACATATCTGTCAGGGGCAATGCTTTCACTTGACAAAGAAAATCCTGAATTATCTTTTCACCTTCCTGAAATGGAGGGAGGAGAAGGAAAAGAAAACAGAAAGGATGTTTAGATTGCATGCAGACTTTTTCCAAACTCCCCAAAGATACAAAGTTTATTCACCACTAGAAACTTTTTGCAGGCAAAACCCACAGTTATTTTTTGCACTTGCTATCACGTTCTCAACACCAGAACAATCCAGTTATAATTGTATCAGGAGTTCTTTCCCCTTTCAATCCATGAGCAAAAAGCATCAGCTGATCAGCAGAAATACAATATTTAACACTGAGAGCTCCTATATATGTTCCACATTTAATTCCAGTGTGCAACCACAGTAGCTGAGGATTGCTAGCAATAACAGTATCAGAGTGGCCATGTTACCCAAACTAGTTACTTTTTTGAGGAATTGTAAATCAAAACAATGTGCAAAAGGAAAGAACGAATTGTAACCAAGCAACTGGAGACTGGCCGTCACTAAGGAGAACAGATGATAATTAAGCTTTATGCATATGCTTTTACACAAACAGGCAAAGTGGAACTTTGCAACAATCTGAACTGAGTAACAAGACCAAACATTTCAATGAACACTAATCAGGAACCCTGTATTAGAAACAACTTGCCCAGAATACGGAATTTTGTCTAGTCCTCTGCATTTTAGAACCCTACTACAAAGTTTTTGTAGGTTTCTTTTATCATTTAAGACTAATGCAGTATGCCTTCAGTGCAGAAGTCTCTGAAGGACTTGGAAATGTAACAAACACGTATTTCTCTCTAAACACGATGTTAACGAAGGCAGACAAATTGCCTAGGTGAGACATCTAAAGCTATGCCACTCTATTGCCTAGAGTGTTTATGAAATACGTATTACTGAAATATCCAAGAATAAAACATGATGCTGTATTTGTCAGAAGTGTTTGCCACGTCAATTTAATTTACACTAACTTAAGACCACACAGCCAGATCCGACTAATCTGAAAAAACTTCACCAGGATACCTAGCAAGCTGGCAAAGGAAAGGTAATCGTGGAGCAACTGAAGTAGTTGGAGGGAGAACCTCCTGGCGCTAAAAGGTAGGACAAACTAGAGATCGCTCATCCACAACACCAGATCCACTTACTGAGCCAAGAACAAATGCAGATGACCTCTAAAACTGAAAATAAAGTTAACAGATAACAGCCTCTGTCTAGAGCAAAGGCTTTTTAACCACAGAAAGTGCTTTGGATATGGACTAACACTTCAAGGCTTCCATATACTGGAGTATTACCAAGATTGCCACTGATGTATAGGAGGAGATAAATGACTTAACAAGGCTGTGAAGTTTCAGGCCAACTGCTGGGACACAGAACTAAGATCTGTAAGCAGATTTATATGCATGCAGCATGGAGGACCTGACTATTGGCAAAAAAACAACTGCAAGTCATAAGGTAGCACGTGGATTTCCTAGGAGGCTGCAACAGATGTCACTGTAAGGACTCTTAATCTGGCAAAAAGACAACACAGGCTATTCTGAAAAAGCTTTCTGCAAGCTCTGGTTTTCCTTTACGCTACCTGTTAATGAAGCTTCTTTTAAGAGAAAGCAAAGGGAAAAGGGAAAAAACAGTTCACTCAAATGACTTTACACAGCTGTATTATGCACTATAGACATGATCAGGAGATGTGGGTTTCCTCAACTTGTGCTTGAAGCCTGTGCAAAGTCAAGAGCATTTTACTTCTCAGTCGAGAAGAGAGAATCAAGCTAAAAGTCTCATGTGTAAAATGGAAAGAACTTTATTGATATCTATAAATCAGACATTCCAGGTCCAAATTGCCATGTCCTTCAATTTGATTGGCTTGTGAGACCTGTTAGTACTGATGGGACATGGAAGGCCACAAAGGAGAAAGCTGTGTACTCAGCTTTTCTCAGATGCGAACAGATCTGAACATGTTCCTGTTGAGCTTCAAGAAATCAGCACTAAGGAGCCCTCAAATAAGGGGGAGCAAAACCAGGTGCAACGTACCTGCGCAGCCAAGAATAATCTAAACAAAAGCTATTTGTTTTAATTGAAGTCCCAAGAAACACTGCATATAAATTAAGTAGCCAACAAAAGTGATGAACACAAAATTCTAGCTTGGTTCACGGCATAAAGAAAACCCCACAGGACAGTTAGAGACATGGTGCCTTGTATGACTGCGGTTGTCTGCCAATCATATAAACTGCTGATCATTATTCTTTAACAAAAAAAAAAAATCAGTTTCCTTCTCATGACTGTATTTTTAGATAAAATTCTTGCCTACGTTAACTTGAAATGAATCTAAACCAAAACCCACTACACCCTTGAACGTCTCTTCAACTCCTAATGACCTTCCTATCTAAAACATTTTGTTATGGAAAAATGAGATTATAGTTAATTATCCTCAAACTTTGGGGGACTCTGAATCCTTAAACTATTTTGCTTGAGCTATTCCAGCTAAAGAAATTAGAAAAAGCATTCCTGATAGCAAACCTCTAAATCCCTGTAGAATTTCTTGGCTGGTGGCTCTCCTTCAGATTCGTTGGACTTGCCAATGTTCTGAAACTCCTCCAGCTCCAATGCTTTCTCTCTTGCACTTTCTATCACATGTTTTGGGAAAGCTGCCAACTCTGCTACATGTATTCCAAAACTCTGGTCACAAACACCTGGATGCAAAGAAAAAAAAAAAATTAGTAAAAAATTCTTAAGAGATAATAATGCTACACAGAGATTATATGAACAAACTTGTAATAGTTCTCCGTTCTGAAGAATTAAGTGCATGACATCGTTTGGTTCTCCCAGCACTTTCTGATTCACCTTTTGGACTAGACATGGTAACACAGACTAAAGAATATGCTCTTACTTAATTAAGCTCTCTTAGAGCAGTAATTGCAGAGCTCCAAAGTGCTTGAGGAAGAAAGGGAAAACTCTTCAGGCAGAAAGAATTTCCCTCTAGTACTTGAATGAAATTGAATAATGGTTTTTATTAAAGTACTTCAGCACAGTCTGCAGAATATAGTCATTTGCATCATTTATTTTCCTTAATATGCATCTCCCACATTTTTTACTATATTTATATGAATACATACGTGTGTATATATATAAAAATACAAAAAATGTTGCGTTCTCAATCATCCTCCACCTCTGCATCTGTACCACATAACTCCTCAGTCTCCCAGAGTCATCTTTAATTGTAACAAAACCTTTCAACTTTACACTTACTTCAATTAATACACTATTCATAACATTTAGTTGAGAAAGGAAAGTTCTCATAATTGCTCAAAATATGTCAATTATACACAGTTACATAAAATAATTTTCACTTCAATATCAAAAGCTCTCTGATACAATCTGTCAACTCCATTCCTTCACATTACCATAATTCTGATTGGTCACCACAAATATTACTACATCCTTTTCATTCTGGTCTCCAGCAAAGAGTTACGAATAAATGAATTATACATGTAAAATGATACTTAACTAATCATCTATTAAATACTGGGTAACTGAAGAACAGGTAAAGGAAAACTTTGCATTTAGATTTCTTTCCTGTTTTATTAACCTTGTAATCTCAGGTTTCTTAAAGGAAATTAAGGTTTTTAAGCAGAAATTAGTCATCTTAATTTTGTATTTGTATTAAAATCACACACCTGCCCAGACACAAAGCTAACTCAGGTTTCTGCTCAGAGAATTCTGAGCAGAGGCCTGGAAAACAGTACTTTCTGTGTCTCCTCTTCCAGTGATTCTGTCACACTCTTGAAGCATTAAGACAGGGACAAAAATACTGTATAGAAGTTTCTTGTCATGCATTTCAGATTTAGTTATACATTTCAAATGACATGAAACTTGTTTCAATATATACAGCTGTATCCGAGCTGCCTATACTCAACATCCTTGCTTCAACAACGTAATTCTTCCAAATGGGGAAAGAGCAAAACACTAAATGCAAAAAACTTATGTGAAAGACATCCAATTTGAGACCAGGTATTTTAAGATGAAGATTTCAGTGTTGTATCTCATCTGACACAGGCTTAAGAAGATAGATACAAGCTATTGTGTCTCTATGCTCAATAGCACTTCCAAGAAAACCAATCGGCTGAAAAGACACTGCATGTACAAAGAAAAGATGTGTATGACTGAAAATGGCAAAACCGATTGAAGAAAAATATGAAACTGGGCTCCTAAAGTTTTCACCAGGACCAGAATGGGTAAGTTTAAAAAAAAAAAAAAAAAAAGGAGGGGAGGGTGGGAGGGAATATTAGAGGTTTTTATCATAAGAGTTGCTATTCCAAGGGATTTAAAAGGTAGAAGGTTTAGATTTAGTGTATATTACTTCTCTCCCTAACCCAAGTACTCAAAATAAGGCACTAAATAAAGATGGCTTTGAAGGTACTGTACATCACCAGCTCTTGCTGCATTCAACACACTCATAGTTCCAATGTACACTTGCAGCAATTTATGGCTATACTTGTCTTCAGTTCCCACGCCACACTAAGTCCTATTGTTTGCATTGATTTGAGTAAGGCATTCAGAGGGGTCTGAACCTTCACGTGGTACAAGGAGCTCAACGTGTGCTGGAGAAGATGGGAGACAGCAAACTGCGAAAGAACCACAGACGCTGCCTCTCCACTGAGCAGGTTGGGTACCAGGGCCACAGCGCTTTGGGCTAACACTCAGAAGCAAAGCCTGGGCATTGCCGAGGAAAACTGCACGAAGAGAGAGAAGAACGTAGGCCATTTCTAAGGAATAAAGATCTCCAAAGACAAGGACACAGTTAAAAGAAACAAGACTGTGGCAGCCAGAGGTACACTAACCAGCTTTAAGTAGACTCTCAGTAAAGCCAGAGGAGAGCAGTACTTCTGGTCATGCTTTGATTCCCCTTATTCAGAGCAGTCTCCCAGCTTTACAGAAAAGTACCCAAAACCAAATTGCAAGACTATAGCCATAGGGGAATACAAAATTAGAAGTGGTTATACAAGTAATCAAAGGGCAAGAAATGAAGTCATTTCATGGATTTAAAACCAGAAGAAATGAGTAAGAAATAGTCAATTAGTAATGTCATAGGAGTAAAACTAGCATGGTACCACTTGAGTGAGGCTCAGATCAGGGGATAATAAAGACACATTTACCAATTATCTAAAGACACTTAAAAGTATGGTGATAGCCTATGAAGATTATAAAAATTATCTTTAAAATCACAACAATAAAATTTAGTAAGTGGACAGCATATTAGATACATTTCAGAACAATATATACCAGGAGGAGTGAACTGAAAAGTCCTAAATTGGCTAACAAAATCAGGAAATACTGGAGAGAGTTCCAGGATAACACATACTGAATATGCACTGATCATGAAAAGTGAGTTATTAGGAGGAACTAGGCAAGTGAAAGCAAGTATTTGGTTTTGCGTCAACATGACAAAACAGCTTTTAAAATCAGGAATGAAGTTCAGCAATTGTACCTGTAAGATTAAATCCTAAACTAAAAAGATAAGCAAACATCAGTCTCCAGGATTTGAAATATGAGACAAGGGCTACCTCCTTAGCCTTAACAAGAATGAATGATACTTAGTAATTGTTTTAGTAAAGATAACAGCCTAATTCCTCAAATAGCTATTCCTTATTTGAGACAAAGCCACTCCACGAGGTAAGTTCTTGATCGGATCCAGTATAGCCACAGTGTTCTATAGCAACCATGTTCTATCCATCCGAGCGTCATCTAACTCATTCCTTCATTGTGGAATTCAGAAAAGGAAAATTAAGAGGTATTTTTAAGTGAAAACATAGCGTAACAGTATTCTGTCCACATTTTAAATCAAAATCTCAGTCCAGAGGTTGGCAACCTAACTGAAATGCACTTATGGGAACAACAAAAATCACTGTAAAGTTTATGACTACATTAGAATGCCTCAAATGACCACACTTTGCAAGCCACAGTTACACAGTCCTGCTTTATTTAGCATAAAATATAAGCTCCTGCTGGAG